TCTTCTATTTAACATTGTACTGAAGGTCCTGAACACCATTATAAGGCAAGAAAATAGAAATAATACACATAAAGATTGAAACTATAGAAGAAAAATGCTCATGTGCAAGCATTACATGATGTTCTATGTTGAAAAGAAAATCTACAAGACAGTGATTAGAAGTAATAAGTGGGTATAACCAGGTCATAGGACATGAGATCAATTCCAAAAGAAATCAATTGTATTGCTATGTAATAACAAGCAAATGAGAACTGAAATTAAAATATCAATATCATTTAAAATAACATCGAAAAGCATGAAACATTTAGTGAGTCAAGAAAAAATATGTGCAAAACCTGTACATTGAAAAACATTGGTGAATAAATGTAAAGACTTAAATATATAGGTAAATATTTTCATGTATTGGAAGATAATCTGAAGATGTCTATTCTTCTCATTTATCTATAAATTTCATATAATTTCTTTTTGTGAAATTGGCAAGTTGACTCTAAAATGTATATAGAAACAAGGGCTGGCAAGATGGAAGGCAGATGACGGGAGTGCTATGTCACTGCACAGAGTCTGTGGGGAGCTCTCACCAGTTTAAAAGTTGTTTTGTTTTGTTTTTTTTTTAAGATTTTATTTATTTGTTTTCAGAGAGAGGAGATGGAAGGAGAAAGAAAGGGAAGGAAATATCAACATGTGGTTGCCTCTTGCACACCCTCTACTGGGGCCCTGGCCCACAGACTAGGCATGTGCCCCGGCAGGAATTGAACTGGAGACCCTTTGGTTCACAGCCTGCACTCAATCCACTGAGCTACACCAACCAGGACCCAGTTTAAAAGTTTTTGATTCTGGTCAAGATGGATGCATAGGTAAACATGTCTTACCTCCTTGTACGACTAGATTACAAATATAAATATCACCTAGAATTGTCATAAAATCGAGCTATATGGACGTCTGACAACCAAGGATTTAAAGAAGCCATATTCATCCAGACATGTGCACTTTTTTACAATAGGCCATGCTACTAAAACAGGGAGTCAAAGGAACTCTACCTAATACACAGAAACAAACACAGGGAGGCTGCCAAAATGAGGAGACAAAGAACTATTGCCAAAATGAAAGAATAGAACAAAACTCCAGAGAAAGAACTAAACAAAATGGAGATTAGCAACCTATCACATGCAGAGTTCAAAATACTGCTTATCAGGATGTTCCAACTCAATGGGTATTTCAAAAGCATAAAAAAGACCCAGGCAGAAATGCAGGTTACATTAAGTGAAATAAAGAAAAATCTACAGACAACCAACAGTGGAGGGGATGAAGCCAAGAATCAAATCAATGATTTGGAACACAGGGAAGAAAAAAAGCATTTAATCAGAACAGCACAAGGGAAAAAGCATTAGGATAGGCTAAGGAGCCTCTGGGAAATCTCTAAACGTACCAACATCCAAATCTAAGGGACACCAAAAGGAGAAGAGGAAGAGCAAGATATTGAAAACTTATTTGAAAAAATAATGAAAGAGAACTTCCTTAGTTTGATGAAGGAAATAGACATACAAACGCAGGAAGCACAGAGTCCCAAACAAGATGGACCCAAACAGGACCATACCAAGACACATCATAATTAAAATGCCAAAGGCCAAAGATAAAGACCAGTAACACAAAAATAGATTATTAGCTCCAAGGGAGTTCCCATTAGACTGTCAGCTGATTCCTCAGAAGAAACTTTACAGGCTAAAAGGGACTGGCAAGAATGATTCAAAGTGATGAAAAGCAAGGACCTACAACCTATATTACTATCATTTAGAATGGAAGGGCAGATAAAGTGCTTCCCAGACAAGATAATACTTAAGGAGTTCATCACCACCAAGACATTATTATATGAAATGTTAAAGGGAAAACATATAAGGAAAAGAGGATCAAAATTATCAACACAAAAATGGCAACCAATTCACAACTATCAACAACTGAATCTAAATAACAAACTAAGCAAACAAGTAGAACAGGAACAGAATTATAGATGTGGGGATCATTTGGGGGGTTATCAGTTGGGCGGGAGAAGGGAGAGAATGGGGGAAAAGGTACAGAGATTAAGAAGCACAAATTGGTAGGTACAAAACAGACAAGGGAAAGTTTAAGAACAGTATAGGAAATGAAGTAGCCAAAGAACTTATATGTACAACCCATAGACATGAACTAAGGGGCGGGGGAATTACTGGAGGAAATGGGGGTATCAGGTGGAGGGAGGAGAAGGGGAAAAATTAGGACAACTGTAATAGCATAATCAATAAAATATATTTTAAAAATAGAAATGAAAAGAAGCTAGAGAAGGAAAAATAATTTTGAGAAAAAAAGAACAAATTTGAGAACCAAATGCTTCCCATTTTCATGACCTACTGGAGAGACCCCTAATCAGTACAATGTGGTTTTAGTTTAGTGATAGACATGTATCAATGGGAGGAAACAGAAATAGATCCATACATTCATGTTGAATAGATCTATCAAAAATATCAAGGTAATACAATAGGAAAAATAATCGTTTTTTCAACAAATTGTGCTATAGTAATTTACTATCCATATGAAAAGAGGTGAATCTCAACCCTTCCTTTAAACTTTATATAAAAACTCAAAATGGACCATATACCTAAATGTAATATTCCCAACAGTAATATAAATAATAAAACCACTTTGGAAAAATTTAATAATTTCTTATAAAGTTAAACATGTATTTATTACATAACCTAGCCTTTCACTCCTAGACTTTTATCTAGGAGAAATAAAAATATATGTCCACACAAAGCTTATCTATAAATGTTCAAAGAAGCCAAATTCAAAATGATCAAAGACTGAAAATTACCCAAATATCTATAACATGTTAATGTATAAAAAATTATGATATATCTACACACTGAGATATTATTTGGCAATAAAAATGAGTGAATGTCAGATGTACTCAACAATATACATGAATCTCGAGAGATACTGGAGACTTCTGCCAAGATGGAGGCATAAGTGGAAACACTGTATCTTCTCAAACAACCAAGTTTAAAGACAATAAAGTTTTAGTAAAACAAATACGCAGCCATAACACAGAAAATTAAACTACCGAAGTCCAACAACAAGGAACCCTTCAACTAGACCGATAAAACAGAGAAGGAGTGAGCAGTGAGACAGACCTCGCAGGCCCCAGCAGCAGAGAGCAGCAGAGGGGACCACTATTGTCCCTCTCTGACCACGCCCCCACATACAGCCTCACAAACAAGCCACCTGGGTGGCCCCACCCTGGTGAACACTTAAGGCTCCGCTCCTCATACTTAATGGGCACGAACAGACCAAACACGGCTCAAGAAGAACTCAAAGTCCCAGAGCCCATAACTCGAAGCGACAAAGAAATAGCCAAACTTTCAGATGCACAGTTTAAAACACTGGTGATCAGGATGCTCACAGAACTGGTTGATTTTAGTCACAAATTAGAGAAACACATGAAGGGTAAACTAATTGAAATGAAGGGAATTGCACAGGAAGGAATTGGTGATGGAAAGGACACTGGGACTCAAATCAAAGGAGTGGACCAGAAGGCAGAAAAAAATGACCAAACAGAAAAATATGAAGAAACAAGAATTCAAAAAAAGGAGAGAGGCTTAGGAACCTCCAGGACATCTTTAAACACTCCAACATCCAAACTATAGAAGTACCAGAAGGGGAAGAGGAACAGCAATAAGTGGAAAGCTTATTTGAACAAATAATAAAGGAGAATTTCCCCAATCTGGCAAAGGCAATAGACTTCCAGGAAATCCAGGAAGCTCAGAGAGTCCCAAAGAACTTGGACCCAAGAAGGAACACACCAAGACACATCATCATTACACTAGCCAAGATTAAAATGAAGGAGAGAATCCTAGAAGCAGCAAGAGATAAGGGGACAGTCACCTACAAAGGAGTTCCCATCAGACTGTCAGCTGATTTCTCAAAAGAGACCTTACAGGCAAGAAGGGGCTGCAAAGAAGTATTCCAAGTCATGAAATCCAAAGACCTACAACCAAGATTGCTCTATCCAGCAAAGCTTTCATTTAGAATGGAAGGGCAGATAAAGTGCTTCTCAGATAACATCAAATTCAAGGAGTTCATTATCACCAAGCCCTTATTATATGAAATGTTAAAGGGACTTACCTAAGAAAAAGAAAAGTATGAACAGTGAAAGGACAGCAAACTCACAGTTATCAACAACCACACCTAAAACAAAAGTAAACTAACAGAACAGCTAGATCAAGAGCGAACTATAGAAATGGAGATCACATGGAGGGTTAGCAACAGAGGAGTGGGAGAAGGAGAAGGGGGGAGAAGGTACAGAAAATAAGTAGCATAGATGGTAGGTAGAAAATAGATAGGGGGAGGGCAAGAATAGTAGGGGAAATATAAAATCTAAAGAACTTGATTCACGTGGCCATAAACTAAAGGGGGGAGTGGTGGGGGAGGGGGTGTGCGGGGTGGAGGGGAATGAAGCAGGGAAATAGAACAACTCTAATGGCATAATCAATAAAATCTCAATAACATTATGCTGACAGAAAAAAGCCAGACCTAACAGTATATACCATATTATCCCATTTATGTGAAGTTCCAGATAATCAATGTTCTCCCGAGGTTAAGACTGGGGGGATTTGAATGCAAAGGCAAATAAGAGACTGTTTTAGAGTCAAAAATGGTCTATGCTTTGGTTGTGGTATTGTACATACACATACGTATAATTGTCAGTATTTTTTAATTATATACTTATAATGGATGTACTTGGTCATATATAAATTATACTCCCATAACACTGATTTATAAAATCAAGTAACCCATGCAGTGAAGAGTAAGCTTTATTAATTTTTGTGTTTAGTTTTTACATATAGTCTCCAAAACTTAGAACTTCATTTTAGCATGAAAGTATTCCACCTCAAAGCAGTATGTCTTGTCTTCATGATGCTGCGTTGCCTTTCCTTGTTAATTTTTCAAACCTAGCAAAACAAGCTACTCACCAATATAGTTCTTTGACATGACTACTTCTCTGACTTCAATATGAACAGAGCCTTTTGGTATCTGCACAACCTCCAGGTATCCTGGAACTGAAAAGACAGCCCGCGTAAATGGACTTGCAGCCTTAGTCAGCAAATGAGTGGTTACAACCATTCAGTAGTACATATCCTTACTCTTATGTGCTTCCTTTGACTTTTCACTTTACAAATTATGAAATATGGACAAATTCCCCTGTGGGTTAATGAAGACCTCTAGAATATTTTTCTTTTTTTCTCTAAAATTACTTCACAATAGTTTTAATGTCTTAACATGGATAATATTGGTTCATCATTTTTTCCTTCACCATGGCCCTCCTTATCAAAGTTCTGCAGAAATTCACATCTCAAAGAAACATGACAAAATGAAGTCAAGTAGAAAGAAAACAGTATTCACTTAAGATATCTCAGCTGAGGCCACATTTCATACTTTCAAGGACTAAAGGTAATTTGGGGAAAAGGCAATGTCTGCTTACATAAAGAAATTTTAAAATAAGACGGGGAGAGTATCCAATGTTTTGGCTACTCCATGTATACCGGAGGTGTGAGGAAGAGTTCTCTCTAAACACTTACCTCCTCTGGGCAACGAATTATTGAAGAACCCTTCAATGGTATCGCATGTGCTTCCATCCCCTCCACAGACTCGACATCTATCTTCCCTAGCATCAGATCCCAAAATATTATCACAACCTACATGCTGAAAACAGAGAATATTCGGTGTGTCAAAAAGAGGGTTTCTTACTAAACAAATAAACACAGCACATTTATTGTTTTTCCAGTAGAGAAAATATTTTCCTTTTTCTATTTTTTACCTTCACTCTCCAGTTAGCTCTAGCTAACATTTCTCAACACATAAATTAAAATTTAAAAAATTCAGATTCCCCAGAAATGTATGTCTATACTTCTAATCTAGAATTCTTCTTCATTTATAGATTCTGAGCTTCGATTCTTAAAATATTTTAGCTTGTTAGCAAGGGGCTCTTATATACACCCTCAATCAAGAAATGCAAGAAATAAGAAAAATGGCAGTTAGTCCTCTACAGGTTATGGCAGCAAGAGTCTTGACTGGGTGTGGAGGTTGGCCCTTTCCAAACCCCTGGCTCTTTGGGATATCAAATCAGAAGTGTCAAGAATCAGCTGGGAAATTCATTAACTGGGTAAATCTTTAAAAATGAATACCTGTTTCCACTAGCTGAATAAAATTGCCATAGATTCTACCTTTGAATTTTTCATTTCATCACAGAAATGTGGATTCTTATATATTTTTGGTACATATTTTGGTAGTTAAATTTGTATATTTGACATTTAGCCATTGATACCAGGCATGTAATCACTGCATAAAACCCATACCTGGGTCTTTGTTAGCTAAAAAGAATTTTAATATTGTCACAAAAAGAACTTTTTCTTCAAGTAAACATACATGCCCTCACACAATGGACCATCAGATACATTGGGAGGTCAGGAGCCAGAAGGACACAAACTTTTGCAAGAAATTATGAGACTGTGTAAAATAGACAGTGTTTTAATCTTTTCTTTCTCAGTTTCTGGGACTTAGTTTTGCACATCTCTTTAAAGTAAAACAAAAACATGAAAAAAATTGAGACCAGTGATTTTTGTGGCTTTTCTTATCATGATAAGACTCACACACAGGTCTAGGAAAACGGGATGGATTTGCTACTAGAATTCCCAACAGGCCTGGCTAATTCTCTAGAGTAAATTCTTTAATAGGATAAAGACTAACTCTATAATCAAAACCATTGTAAATGCTTTATTTTTTAAAAGATTTTATTTATTTATTTTTAGACAGATGGAAAGGGAGGTAGGAAGAGAGGGAGAGAAATATCAATGTGTGGTTGCTTCCCGTGTGCTCTCTACTTGGAACCTGGACCAAAACCCAAGCATGTGCCCTGACTGGGAATCAAACCAGCGACCCTTTAGTTCACAGGCCTGTGCTCAATCCACTGAGCTACACCAGCTGGGCCACTGTAAATGCTTTAAAAAGAGATAAAGTACAAGCATAGATGTCTCATACTTTGAGGAAAAATCATGCTATGAAATACATCAAATAATCTTCCAATGAGAATATACGGTAGCCAAATAAGAGCTGAATCCTCATTCCCTCTCTTTTCCTAAGTTCCTGTTTGTAAACAGAACAGAATCCGAATATTGTAATAGCTATAGCTATCACGCTAAACATAAGAAGAACACCAGAATAAATCACATTTGCATGGCGCTTGAATATCAATGGGTTATTCTACTTTTAACTACATTTACTGTTATCCTTACTAAAAACTGAATTTCTTTACAGTATAGTTTTCTTTATTAAAACTGAGCACAGTATCAATTAGCAGCTACTATCTGAGGAAAAAAAGAAAATGCTCAAAAGCTCTACAAAAAGAAGCGAAATTCATAATCTGAGCAACCTTGCATTCTCCATTGATACAGATATCCAGTGAATCCGCATTGCACTGAGTCCCATCAATCACTGCGGGGGAACGTTCAGTGTAGAAATTGTAACCTTCAGCCAAGCAGTTTAATGCACAAGGTTTTACTCCACCTGGACAAATATAGTAAAAAAGAAATAAATGGAGTGGATCTTCCAAGAAACAGCCATTCAATACTATACACAGCAAATGTGCAATTCATGTAGCATCATCCCCTGACTATATCCCTAGGTGTGTAGGTTTCTTTCCTCCTTTGCTAAAATTTCATGTTAATTTTCATCGCTTGTGCAACTTCATGAAGGTCCTGCTAAGTGGTTTTAAAGTTTCCAAATTTTAGGTGTTTCCAGTATATATATCTACAATGTATTTTGGGTCAAAGGGGATCACAGTGGAGGTACGTACCTAAATGCTGAAAAAAAAAAAAAAGAAAGAAAAACTACTTTTAAAAATTAACTAAGGAAATAAAATTTAAGGAGGCTTGAGACAATAACCTCATATGACAAATAGGAATTTCTGCAATGTATGTAACTTGTAATGGAAGCTGATATAAAACTGTGCTACTTCAGCAGGGACTTGGTAGTTGTGAAACAAAACTACTTGTACCTCTTTTAAACATGTCATAATCCATGAACATGGCATTAGCATGGAGATAAACTATTATCAGATTAGCAAAGATAAAATTAATTATGGCATTATAGTGGGATCATTAAAATAATATCTAATTTTATTTTGTGAATAAATGCATATAACTTGAGCATTTTTGTTTTGTCACTGACAATTGTATTTTTTAAGATTGATGTAAAGAACAGGCACAAGTAATAGCAATTTAAAACAACAAGCAGAATATATAACTTCATGGTATACTGGAAAAGTAGAAATAAACACAAATATAGTTTATTCAAAACAGTGTATGAAAGGTGATTTATGAATCTGTACTGATTTGAAATATGCCTTAAGAATACTTTCTGCTGAATCTTCATTTCAATTTCTCTTTAAAATAAAACAGACTACTTCTAATAAAGAAAATAGGGCAGAAGGATGACATGGCAAGCCTAGGTCTCAGTGAGAGCAGAGACCAGGCTGCTGCCCGGCGAAGCAAAAGGGAGAAGCCAGCTGGGTGGGGCAGCTGGGCGGGGAAGACTATGACAAGTTAGGGACAGAGAACGCTCCATTAAAGGAGATCAGGGTATGGTTGATTGCTGTCATACAAGAAGGCGGCCCAGTATTGTCAGACATCCTGTATTTTTCAAGAGAAGATGAAAACCTATTTTTTTAAAATATAAACTGTTCTTGGAAACTCATTCAAACCTTTCAAAAATACCAGAAAGATTCAAACATGTGTGTTAAGTAAAATCTGTTCCTGAACCACCAGGTTCCAGCCACTGGACTAGGTTCGAGTTTCCTCCAGTTTCTTTGCAGGCTGTGCTGAGAGTGTTATTGTTCAGCTCAGGGGATGACACATCTTGCTGCCCTGAGCTCAGAAATAATGAGTAATAAATAAAATAATTTCCTTCCGAACCGATAATCAAGGTATTTATATCTACTTTTGTAAGACTCTCATACAAAATTCTTGTAAATTTCCATGAATATTATATACACTTTTTTCCATTAGTGCTCAACATAGTTCTTTGCCCATTTTTTATATTAATGCTTTGAAATTTAATGTAGCTTTTTATATAACAGGCTTTAAAACAAAGAACACTAGTCTTTTATTTACTAGATTTTAATACTACATTAATTATGTAAGGTCGTATTCGATAGCCAAGGTGTATAATTGTTACAGTTGCACTCCTTATGCCACTACACTACGTGATAATAATAAGAATATATTGCCTTTTTTTTCACTGCTGAAGATGTATTTAGCATCCTCTGCTATAGTTTTCAGAAGAGGCATTGCTATTAGTCAAGAAGGAATTTAAGTTGATTCCATAATTGGAAGGCCACATTACCAATTACCTTCCATTAAAGCTTTTTATGAATTTAGGGTTATTTCATTCCATTCTCAATTGCCTAGATTTTAATGATTAAATCTGTCAATTACTTCAGACACTTAATTATTCTCCTCCTATAGTAAGACAAAACAATCCAAAATGTATATGCATCTAATAAAAGTGATCTAAAATACACAAAATAAAAAACTTATTTTTAAAAAATCAAAGAAATATAACAATTTGAGATTTTAACACACTTCTCTCAGTAATTGATAGAACTAGAGCAGAAACAATCAGAAAGAATGGAAAAGATTTGAATGACATCTCCAGCCTACTTGACCTCGTGGATACCCCCAGGACGCTATGTCCAACAATTGCAGAGAACACACCTTTTAAAGGACACGCAGAGCACTCACCAACATGAATAATATACTATATCATAAGACAAATTTCAGTTAATTTTAAAATTTAAATCATGCAGACTACTCTCTAACCATAATAAACTTAAATTATAAACCAATTTAAAATCCAGAATATATCAAATATTTGGAAATAAAAAGAGTAGTTCTAAATAATCCATGGGTCAAAGAAGAAATCATGAAGTAAGAAAATATTTTGAACTGAAGGAAATAAAAACACATCAAATTTGGCGAATGAAAAAGAGCAAAATAAACTTCATAATAAAAAAGAGAATAAAGATGAGAAAAAAATTAATGAAAGAGAAAAAAAACAGCAAGAGAGAAAACTACTAGAGTCAAAAGTTGATTCTCTGAAAAGGTTAATATAATTGATAAACCTCTAGTAAGACTGATCAAGAAAAAGAGAGAAAATATATTTTATGAATATCAGAAATGAATGGGTATACATCACCACAGATCCCACAGATATTAAACAGGATAATAAGAGAATGTAGTGACCTGTTTTCTGTCAATGAGTTGGACAACATGAAAATAACAAATTTATCAATGACTCAAATTAAAAAACTCACATAAGAATTAAACAATCTGAATAGCTCTTTTATCTATTAAAGAAGCTGAATTTATAATAATATTTTTCACAAAGAAAATACCAACCCTATGTGATTTTACTAATGAAACCTATTTTAAGGAAAAAACAATACCAATGTTACAAACTCTTTCAAAAAAAATAATAATTTCATTTTGAGAAGCTGGAGTAACTCTGATGCCAAAACTTGCCAAAGACATGAGAAAAATAAAAATTTGAAATTAGTTTTCTTTATGAACATAGTTAAAAACATCCTTAATAAAATATTAGCAATTGAATCCAATAACATATAAAAAGATAATAAGTCACCACATGGGGTTTATCCTGGGAATAACAAGGTTGGTTTGACTTATAAAACCTATCAATTCACTATATTAACAAGATAAAGGAGAAAATCACATATAATCAACAGGCACAAATTATACTGAAGGGCTGGCTTAGTGCATTAAGGCAAGAAAATGAAATGAAAGGCATAAAGGTTCAAATAGTTCCTATTTTCAAATAACATAACTAGCCAGAAAATTCTAAGGTAACAGAAAAAAAGTTAATATATAAAAATTAATTTTATTTTTATATACTAGAGCTAACAATTAAAAACAAAAATTAAAAAAAAATGTATTTAAAACCGTGTCAAAGCACATAAATTACTCAGAAATAGATTTAACAAAAGAGGTGCAAGACCTTACACCTAAAACTACAAAACATAGCTGAGAGAAATTAAAGTAAACACAAATACAAAGAGATACACAGCTTGCTCATAAATTAGAAAACTCAATATTTCAATTTATCGGTTCTCCCTCTACTGATCTACAGATTCAACATAACAAGCATAAGCATGATAACAAGCATGGTTTTTTCTGTAGAAATTAACCACAAATTTTATAATTTATATGGAAATGCAAAGCACTCAGAATATCCAAATAACTCTTTAAAAAAAGATCAAAGGTGGAGGAACTTACACTACCTGTCCAAGACTATACAGTTACAGTAATTAAGTCAGTGTGGCACTAACACAGGGCGGACACAGACATTGATGGGACATAACAGTCCATAAATACATTACAACTACACATCATACTGCTAAATTATCTTTAGATTGTGCATCTAAGTATAAAGATAAAAAATATGGCTTGTAGAAGAAAATGTAAGAAAACATAAGAAAATACAGTCTTGAGTTGAAGTAGGCAAAGATTCCTAAGACTGGATGCAGAACACAATAACCATAAAAGAAAAAAAAGAAAAATTAGAATTAATCAAAATTAAAATTCTATATTCATTTAAAACACCATGAAATAAACAAGAGGAGAGGCACAGGTCATGAGAAAATATTGCAAAACTTATCTGATAAATGACTACCACTCTAGAATAAAAAGATAAAAACACCAATTTAAAAAATTGGCAAAGAATTTCAACACTTTACAAAAGAAGATATGTAAACGGTCAGTAAGCACATGAAAATGTGCTCCACAGAACCAACAATCAGAAATTAAAACTACATTGTGATACCATTGTATATACACTCCAGAAAAGGCTGAAAACACCAAATGTTAGCAAGGATGGGGAACAAGCAGAGCTCAGACACTGTTTGTGGGAGTGTGATACGGTACAATCACTTTGGAAAAACATCTGACGCTAAACTCACATCTACCCTATTACCCAGCAACTCCACCCCTAAGTATTTACCCAAGAGAAATGGAAGCTTATGCCCACAAAAAGATGTGTTTGCAAATGTTCACAGAAGCTTGTTCATAACAACTGTAAACTAGAAACACCCCAGTGTCCATCAATAGTAGAATGAAGAAGCAAACTGGTTATTATAATAGAATATTGCTTAGCAATAAAAAAATAAACTACTTATATGTGCAATAATGCAGATGGATTTCAAAAACATTAAGCTTAAGGAAGCCCTGTACAAAATAATAAATATGACAATCTCATTTACATCAAGTTCTAGAATAGGCAAAACTAATCTATGGTAAGAAAAAAATCAGAATGGTAGTTGCGTCTCAGAACAAGGATGCAGAGGCAGCTATGGACTGGGAAGGACTACAGAGCTAATGGCAATGTTCTGTCCTTCAGTAGGGTTTCACAGGTGTGTGCATTTGTCAAAACTCAGGAAAAGGATAGTTAGGATTTGTGCATTTCGTTGTGCATAATCTTACCTCAAAAAAAAAAGCAAATAAATATTGAACTGTGGTTAACATTACACATGCTTAAGTATTTATAGGAAAGTATATTATTAATGACTATAATTTACTTTGAAATGTATCCAAAAAATAGGATAGATTGATGAAGGGATAGTGAAGTGACTAGACATGTAATAAAAAATATATACTAAAAAGTTAATGGTAGAACCTTGGTGGTAGGTTAACACCTTGTCACTGTAAAATTACTTCAGTGTTGTTCTATGTTGAAAATGTTTCAAAAATGTTAAAACAAGCAAAAATTTTAAGCATACGTTCAGTTTTTCCAACAGAAAATTTTAACAAAATTTTGTTTGTATTTTGGGAGCCTGAGCAAACTTCTTGCATTTACTGAATAACATGCCCAAATTAAAGAGCAAAAAAGTTTCCCAACACTAAAAAAGAATAATAAAAATCTATGGAAAGATCCCTGGCCTTTTCTCAAGAAAGAACACAGATTTTCCTGGCCTCTTTGAGTTGATTTATGTTGTCATACTTTGTTTTTAGTGTAGTACACTAAATACTCCCTGATTATAAATGATTATAATGTAATGTCCATATATCTCAAGGAAGTCAAGAACTCAAAAATACTATTTAGCTTTATATCAAACCTTTGTACAGTGTTAAACAGAATTAGGTTTTAAAAAATGACTTGTGATCATTGTACTAACATACAAACTTCATGAAGGGAAGTATATAGTACTAGAAGCATTTTCCTGCTTTGATTTACAAACACTTATTTTTGCTAGTATGTATGGGAAAGTTTGTGTGTGTTCATGTGTATTTATATATTCTTTTATGTTTGCAAAGCTCCCGAACATGATGAATGCTCTGCCAGGTTATACATTACCTCCAGTATGGGGTTTCCAGTTATAATACTTTCCACGGAAAGGCATACTGTCAAAGTCTGCACACTGTTTCTCTCGAAAATCTCGGGCCCCCAAAGGACATGGCTAAAATAAAATAAAATCATAAATGGTATGATTGTTGAAAAATTCCAAACCAAGGGACAATGTCCCTAAAATTAAAATTGCCTGAAATCCATCACATTAGTTCACTGCCTTACTCTCTGGCTGTGATTCTGGCATTTGCTTTACTGTTTTACAACCAGTGTTCAGAATAACGTGTCTGAATTACAATCTTAGCCGCAGAAGAAATAACTGAAGTCATTTGAACGAAGTCAAGTGTTAGACAGTTTCCATATAACTTCACACTCAGATGCACGTCATAGTCCTCTTTGCGATCAATCCATCAGGCATCTCCTTATAAACACACACAAAAAACTAGGAGAAGAAACTCAAACACAAAAATTTTTTTGGTAGAAGCATTTGAGGTCCAGTCTCCACAGCTACTCCCAGCTCCTTATTTTAAGGAATCAAGAGGCAGGTTTGTAACATGACATTTGGTAGTATGAATTGTGGCTTGGATCCCTACTACTGTAGCTGTTTACTGTCTCGCTCTGACAAAAATCATATTCTAAGACATGGGATGGGCAGGGCAAAATGCTAGGCCTCAAGTTTAAACACCTTCAAGTTCAAGGAATTTGGACTTATTAGGATTTACATATATTCTTTAACATCACAGAAAATAAAATAATAACTTGGTTCAAAACATGTACATGTGTTCAATGGAAGACAGAGAAAGAAGTTGGGGGATGAAGAAAGAATCATTTGTTTTTAGAAGTTTGGAATGCTTTTTTCTACCTGAATTTTTTAGAGAGGAAAATCTTGCCAATCAGGCTAGGTATAGATGCCAAATACCACAGGGCCATCCTAAATGTAATATTTAAGTTCATAAAGAATTAAAAGTATAACATCTCATAGTGTTTGAGCAACACGACCTAATTTGACATATTCTTTTGGAGTTCTGCAGCTGTTGCACCTGAAACACAAAGCTACTGCTTTTGAAACACTGACCAAGAAACACCCACTTTAAATATGAAAGAATGAAGCAAGTCACTATTAATTGTGAATAAGAGATGAGTATGTTACAGACACTCTCAGATATCATTTCCAGGACTTTTCACCACCTTCCCTTGTATCTCCACATTTACTTCATATACTTTTCCGAGGTCAGAACACTGCAAACAGTCTGAAGCATGTGCAAAAATAATAGACCACAGTGTGCAAATATTTGCATGGTCATCATTACTTCCTATACTCTGTGGTTCAAATTTCTACCATATCAAGTCCAAAGCCTCAGATTCTGAAAATAGTAACAGCATTCTGTTATGGACCCTGCGTTTAAAAATATTTTTTGCACATTAAAATAAGGTACTACAATGTTAAACCTAAAGATTCTGCTTGTCGAATTACCCTTCTTACCTGTGTTCTAATTTTTTTATTTATTGATTTTAGAGAAAGAGGGAGAGAGAAATATTAGTTGTTCCACTTCTTTGTGTATTCACTGGTTAATCTTATATACACCCTGATCAGGGAGCAAAACTGCAACCGTGGTGTATCAGGATGACACTCCAACCAACTGAACTAGTCTGCCAGGGCCACCTTACCTGTATTTTTTGTTTGTTTGTTTCTTTTCTGTGTTAATGGAAAATAACTATGAACCTGAGGCTACACGGTGCATCATGCTGGAAAGATCCGCTTCCAGTGTTTTTGTTTCATGCTCTGCTAGTGCTGTACTTTTCTGCCATTTCCAGGAAATTCCACACAAGGACTGAAGTTGTCAGTGGCTTTGCCATGCAGCAAGACTGTTTTTTTTTTAAGCAAATATTATCAATTTCTAAAAATACAAACAATTTTAACTCTCGCTACAAATTTTCACATAAAACTTAAGTATTTGAAAAGCACTGACCACCTAAAAGTTCATTCATGCATAGCCTTCAATCTAGTTGCAGAAACAAGACACAAACAGAAAAAACTCTAGTGCTGTTTTGGGCAGTGAGTCTGTGCCGGCGTGTCCCAGGTTGCCTGTAGATGCTGCATAAAGGTGAACGATCAGTGTTTCTTGTGATTACTTAGGGAAACATCTCTGGCAGCAAATCTTGAGTATTATAATTATAATAAAAGTACTATAAATACTTAATGTTTGTAACATTATAAGACACTGTAGGAATTGAGCTGGTTAAGAGAAAGGACTATGGGGAGGAGGGAACTATTAAAAATAAAGCCAGGTAAAGCCTTGGGGACAGGAGGCAGAAGGCTGAATGTTGGGAATAGCGGGAGAATGGCTGTTCTACAGGAGCATAAGAGGAGGTGCTAGTTCACAGAAAAGCACTAGTCCATAAAAAAGCTTCAGATTGACAAACTAAGGTATCATGTGGGCCATCACTCACTTAACAACAAAAATCCTATCATTAACTATCTTGTAATGATGCTCCTAATAGAAATAAAAGGTCCAATAGGAGGATATTACTTTTTCATGAAGCACTTGGATAACATGTCATTAAATTTCTGATCTACTCTTTTCTTGTGATAACCACTCCAAGGGTCAGCATAATAAAAATATCAATAATGACAACAGCAACTTAGCATTTGCCAAGCATTTTGTAAGTACCTGCTCCGTGGCATGCTGCTCAGAGGCCTTAAGATGTACTATTTCTTTAATGTCTGTCAACACTCTTATGAGGTCGTTGTAATTAATATTCCCACTTTGTAACAGAGTAAACTGGGGACAGAAAGGTTTGCTTAGTTTCAGGGTGCAGGAGACCTCCCTCCTGGAGGGAAGCCTCTGGCAGACACGAAGTGCTCTAATGGCAGTGTGAGGCTTCAGCTTTGTTCAGCTACACAAAACCCCAATGGGAGTAACTACTTGGGCTATAGACCTAGCCTGGTCATTTCCAGCAGCAAGTTTCTTATCTTTTTCAAAAACCTTCCTTGTTCTCATTTATAGAACGAGAGCCCAATTCTTATAAAATAACAATTTTGGAGTAAGACAGATCTGCATTCAGTTCTAACTTGGCCCTTGTTTAACGTATGGCCTTGAGAAATAGACTTCACTTTCCAAGCCTCATCTATAAACTGGGCATAATACTAAGATTTACCTCTTCAGTGAAGATTCATGTAAAATGTTTAGCTCTGTACCTGGTATATGGTAGCTGAATAACTATCAGCAGCCATGCTGGTCTCGGGTCAGGTACCCTTAGACTCATCCCTCACCTTTCTCCTGCTCTGCTCCATTTTCCAGGGGAACAAACTCCGTAAGCTCCATTCTCTAGGCTTCTGTGCCAGCCGACTTCTGGTTGGATTAGGCAATGAAAGGCACTAGTGGGAGACGCCAGGAGAGTTCTCTTATTTCCTCAGGACCTCAGGAAGCACCTTAGGCAGAAGCAGAATCCTTTCTGTGGCTCCAGCTTGAGCCAACAGAAGCCCCTCACCTCCACCACTTCCTATGCTTCCAGATTCTGCTGTGTGATTCCAGCCTCTGGACCCTGATAAAACCCCTCCTGCCTGGGTCTCTTTGGCCTCTTCCTGCTGACCCTGATCTATGGGCTTGCAAGCCTCTTCCATCACATGTAACCAATTCTTTGCATTAAATTCCCTCTATCTAAATATTCAGAGTGATTTATATTATCATGGTTGGATCTTTAATGATACGACAGTCAATAATGAAGGAGGAGGAGGAGGGGAGGAAGAAACTGGAAGGTTGAATACAGAAACATTTCTATATGTTATATTTCACAGTTTGTTGGTTAAAAGTATAGAGCTTAGAAAACTTCTTTCTGTAAAGGGCAATACAGTAAATATTTTAGGTTTTGTGTTCTATACGGTATCCACTGTGACTATTCGACTCTGCCATTATAATGTGAAAGAGGCCATTGACAATATGTAAATGGACAGGGCTGTGTTCCAATAAAGTTTAATTTACAAACTGAGGTGATGGGCAGAATTCGGCCCAGGAGGTAGAATTTGCCAACCCTGATTTAGGTGTTAACATAATAGATACATCCGTCTGGCAGCAGTCTGTGGAAGAACCAAACTCAACTAACTTTTAACAAATCATACACTTTTAAGAACTGATGTTAGAAGTAATATAACATAATTTGCACACTGTGCTTAAATGTCCTCTACAATTATCCCCAAAGTGGTCAAATCTCAACAAACATCTACAGAAAGCTCAGGTACTTTTCAGACAACTGCAATTATCAGGTTCTTCCTACTTTCAGCTAAAAGCTGTCTTCCTACAACCTGGTGGTATTGCTCCTCTCTTTGGGATCCACACTGAGCAAATCTAACCCCTAACTAAAAGGTACCTAGACCTTGATGGCTTTCTTAAAGGCACATCATAACTCATCAGGAGCCCTCTTAAAACAAGGCATCAAGATACTGGCCTTAAATGTCTTCGTTTTGTTCAGCAAATACCTGTATATATCTACACTGCTTATACATGTGATCTAGGTTCTGGATATAAAGCAACAAACGAAACAGATTAGGTCTCTGCTTTCATGAGAAAAAAGAAAAACAAGCAGGTTAAGGGAATTAATTGATAGCGAGGTGGAGGGAAACTGTTTTAAATAGTATGGTCAGAGAAATTCCCTAGGATAAGGTGTCACTTGAACAGACTTTAAAAAAAAATACTGAGAGAGTGTGACTTATGTACATATCTGCAAAAACAGTGTTCCGGGTAACAGTAAATGCAAAGGCCTGGAGACAAGAGTGTGTTTAGGAAGTTCACAGAACGGCACGGAGGATGGAAGGGCTCTGAGGGAACCGTGGTAGACCTGGCGCCCTGATCCGTGTGTCTGGTTCTAGAGTGCATCAGCCAGTGTTCGGTTTCCTGATTCCAGTGTTGACTTCAGTGAATGCTCTGAGTCTGTGCTCATTAGAAATAAGCTCAGTAGGAACCAATCATATATGCTGGTTCCCCAAAATGAGACTGATCGAAGAGGGGTTAATTTCTTAAGAAAAAAAAATTACGTGGACTATATTTGGGGAGGGGTTGTTTAGGAAGAGCGGAGAGTTTAAGGAGTAATGCTGTTTAAATTATTTAGGGATTA